TGCTACAGGGTTCAGCCCACCGAGCAAGTAAAGACCTAAGGAAATTTATTTCCTGTTATTGCATGCATAAAGCCACTAAAAGAAAACCAAATGTATTTCAAATATTATTTCACTGAAGATTAAACATTTTTGCCAACTGGATTTTCGATTGAAAATTTAGCTTAACATCTAGAAGCCATTTTGCCAGTAACATTAAAATGCAATACTGGTTTTGGGAGGAAAAAGGAGTACTTGATGGGGTGAGGCACAAACGTGTTTGGCAGTGCAGAGGAGTGTACTTTCATTAGCATGCTTGGATTGCGGTTTTATCTAGGTCACTTCTCTGCAAGGCATTTAACTGCAGCCTCCTGATAGGCTTCCATCCAAAGTTTAAGACCGAGCCAATTGCCAGGGATATATGACCATTAGATAGACTTGCTTCTGTTTTTTTCTACACTAGACAGTCGCTTGCTTTCAGTGTCAGCACTGGCAAATGCAGGCTATAACGCACTGCTGACTGCAGGAATGCCCACCACAGGGCATGGAAAGCTACACTGCAAGTAACCGTGCTGTTGAAAACAGAGAAACCACGAAGTGCTCAGCAACTCCTTCAGAAACCCATGTGCTGCACTTCAGAGAGGCTCACTGCCAACTGGCTGCACATGAACCCAGAGCAGACACAGGAAAGCAAAACCATCCTGAAATAGATAGATTGTTTAAAGGAAAAGTCACTGCAACAAGGTTGTAACAGGGAAAAAGCAGCGAGCACTTTGATGTATAAGGAGACTAAGGGCACGATTTAAGAAAGCAGGAGAGAGACCTTGTAGCTCCCAAACCACATTAAAAACACAGTATATTCTTTTTTATGGAAGAAAGATCTCTATCTCCCAGATTTTTCTGGAGATGACAGGCTCTGTTTATCTGGAACATACTGAACCATTCAGAGCCAGCAGATGAAAAATCTGTGGTAATTCTGACAAGTGTTGGCAAACAGAACTGTCAAGTAAGGATAATGACTTTATAGTCACAAAGCACTTCTCATCCAGATAGAGCCCAGAGTGCTTCGCAATTGTTACTAATGGATTATACACACAAATGAATCACTTTGCCCATGACTGAAATGGAACAGCTTTAGGAGTGAACTGTTTAACAGCACATAGCAACACTACACCACAGTTTAGCACAGGATCCAGTTGCAAATCCAAGAGAAATTTAGGAAGACACACTGTAATTATCCACACTGCAATGTGCACAGGACACTGGGTTTACATTACCCCTCCTCCAACAACCACCACTGGAAATATGGCAACTGTCAGCATCTAACATAGCACTTTGTCATGATGGGAAGAGGACAAGGTACCTTTTTGGCCTTGTTCCCATTAAATTCCAGAGAGCTGAGCAAAACTGAGCTGAGCCTGCAGAGAACAAGTCACTTCAAGGATGCATGCAACTACCAAAGTCGGTGTTAAATCCCACCTGAAAGGTGGCACCTTTCCATCCATAAAGCCTGAGAAATACTCTTTGAAAACATAACAGAGAACTTGGGAAGAAAGACTACCTCAGCAGTGTTACTTCCTCCAGCACCTGTTTCTCATCTGCAAGCTTCCAGAGGGAAAACAAGGGGCTCTGTTTAATCCTGATTAAACTTCAAACTTGTGAATGAAGGAGCAGAAAGAATTTCAATCATCTAAGCAATATAACAACAGGGTGAAGAAAAGAGTGCATTAGTGATGGGGAAAGCTTTTGTTTTGGGTTTTTTTTTGGGGGGGAGTTAAGAGTTTTAGATAATTTTATGCTTATTATTATAGTGAAAGTAATAGAATAAAAGGTAAAAATACAGTAAGGAATGTTAACTCACACAGTAAGTTTTGGACCAACTTTTCTAACAGCTGTTCCACATTTGAGCCATTTCAACTCACACAAGAAGCAAAATCTGAACTAAAAAATACTTTCAAAATGGTAGAAACATTGGTACCAGCAATTGCTGAACCCCTTCCAGGTCCTACTCTCAAGGCCATGTTCAAAAGCCACGTGACATTTCAAGGCTGTAGCCAGCCTCACTGATCTCAATAAGAGCTGTTACGAGTTCAGTACTTCAGTACATCAGATACATTAATTTCTCTATGAAATGCAATAATCTGAGACCAATGTTACCCCTTCAGACAGGTAAAACTACTATTAAAATCTTGCTGTGTGGTCTTATTTTTCTTCCCCTCTAACCCTCACCCAGACTGCCCTGGATTTGGAGTACGTGGAACACCATCATCCTTGCCAAAAAGTTGTTCAAACAAACAGTTACCTAACAGCAAACACAGCACTATGATCATTAGGTTAAACCCCAGGACTCATAAAAGCAGAAATTTGCCTACAATAGATTAGGAAACAGGAAATCTTTAAAGGGAACAAGAGCTACCATACAGCCTTCTGAAACAAAAGGAAGAACATTACAGTCATTAATTCTTCTTTTAACAAACACATAGCATACAACAGCTGAAGAAAGTAAATACTAGGATGCTGGATATCTCTTTGAAAGGCAGGAAGCTAAGGGGAAAGGGTGACTAAAAATGGAAAGGCTGGAATCAAAAGGAACTCAAAGATTCCTCACCCAGTCAGTGACCGTAAGATCTACCTAAACAAAGCTAAGCCTGGAAAATTCATCACCTAGAACCTGAAATTTCACTGCACAAGTATTTAATCTAGGCTGAACTAAGTGAAAAACTTGCTCTTCAGAGTGGTCCAAGATTAAACTTAATTTATGTACCTCCTTCAGAGGAGAAATCAGACCCTTTATCAGCATTCTCTTGTTTACTTCACTACTACCCTCGGCAATGAGAACAAAGAACACGACAATCAGAGTCAGGAATCAGCATGAACATCTGATTCCCTTTCACATTAAGAATACCACAGTCACCAGAGATAATGAAGGGAGACTGACAAAGAGAAAAATTAACTATGTATAGTGATGTACACAGAGCTGGAAAACATGTGGATAAAAAGGATCAGGAAAAACTATGAGATAAGTATCTAAAAAACTCAGAAATCATCCATTTCAAATAAACCCTCTTTTGAAACAAAACTGCTAACAAAACAAAGATGTCATTCAAAAAAAGAGAACATGATATTCATCTTTCTTTTTCATCATGGATCATATTCTCAGATAAACTCATAATGGAAATAAGCCAGGAGTTCAAGTTTCTTTACTCAGTACTTTCAGGTGGAAAATACTGAGTCTAGTTCAATGACACATCTCCAGACAGGTTTCTTAATTCTTCACTGCTTCCTTCCACCTCTAAATCTCTGTATTTCAGTAGTCTGTCAGGCAAACCTCAACAAAATATTGTCTTCTTCCCTACAGAAGTAGCAAGTGGCCCTCTAAAAGGATTATCTCAAGCCATGATAGCAAGTTTCCTAAAATCTTGTACCTTGCATGTTTGTGAATTCCCTTTTTCTTTGCAACAAGTTCCATCTACACTTGAAGACTAGTTTAGTTTAGTTTAGGTTTAGTTTAGTTGGCCAGCAGAAAACTTTGGCTTGCACACACTGGATGTTGCTTTAGTCATGCTAACTATAGCTAGCATATATGCACAGCTTATAAGGTATACAGATGGTTGAGTGACAGAGACATGAGAACATACCTGATGAAAGTATCTTAAGCAACTTTCCTGACACCAAAAGCAGCAGAAACAGCACTTGAACAGGCACTTGGCACATGCACTCTCCTGCAATAAAATGAAATGTTTGGTTACTGGACACAGAATTAGACTCAAAATTGCCATTTCAGGAAAACTTGCCTTACAGGTGACTGACTCTTCTAATAAAGCATTCGTTTGGGCACAAGCTATTGTGCCCAAATATCTGAGTTATAGGAACTGCTTTTAATTCACACCCTTTAGTATTAATGACTGATGAACTGAGCATATCTTCTTTCTTCCTGTGCACGGGAGATTCATCTCCGAGAAAAGAAAGTAAGTGCTGCAAGCAGCTTTGTGAGCTAACAGCTGTTTGGAGAGCAAAGCAGGCAGGCAATTCAGTAACCCTTACAACACTTTACAGTGATCAGGGAGTACACTGACAGTCTTCAACTTTTTGTTTACCTAAAAACCTTGACAGTTCTGAAATGACTGATACCTTAATGGACAAAAAGAAAAGAACGAGCATAAACCTTGTATGCAATAGAATCCCAGACTGGTTTGTGTTGGAAGGGACCTTAAAGCTCATCCAATTCCAATCCCCCGTCACAGGGGGTTGCCTAAATCTTCCTTTAAAATCACAGTTGTGCAGTCATGACAGCTCTTTCTCCTTGCCAAAGTGCCAGAACTAACTGCAGTGGTATGTTTCCAGCAGCAGGTAAGAGATGTGGAGATGCATGAAAGACAGAAAGAAGTCAAACACAACCAAACCAGCACAGCTCTATTTCTTATATACCTTAAAAGATGCGGTTTGGATCCTACACAAATCTCTGGAACAGTTCTTATTTCATGCATTATTTCTACAAACTCCTATTACAAGGCAGATTAAATATTTTCTAGTAGATATTTTAGATGTTACAAAAAAGTTCTTCCTTCCCTTTGCTTTTGTAAAATTTACAATGCAAAAAATTTTAAATAGAGCATTCTGCCAATTTTTTCCTTTATCCTTCATAGAAAACTTTATATATGAACACTAAATAAAGCTGGTTTATATACACCTACCTTTTGTTTTAGGATATTATAAAGGTACAAGAGAAGAATCCTTGGTATTCTCAGTATTGTGATAAGAAATGAGCCTTTTATAGCAGTTCCTAGGTGATAGCAAAAAAGAACTGATATGGAAGACAGGATTGGGTGAGGTGGTGCGTTATTCTTGTTCCTAGAAAGAAACCCAAAGAATTTTAACTTGATTTAAAAGCTTAACTGAAGGATATATACATGGTATCTTTTCAGGATTGGGAGATTTCAATAACTAAGCCAGTATCTCTTTTCCCACTTCAACAACCCCAGTTTTCTTACTGACTTCATCTGAATGTTCACCTTAGTCCAAAGGAAAGCAGCCAAGTGTATAACTTTTATTGGATTAGTTTAATTCTTAAGCAATGACTGTTTTTGTATATTCAGTAATGGAAAAAGATCTAGAAAAAACCTACAATGGAAAATACCAGAAGTAAGTGAACACCATCTGAAAATACTTCCTTGAACCCCTCTCTCCAGTTTCTGTCACTTCTATTCTCCACAGTCTTTCATTTTACTGTTGTTTCTGCAAGATCTTAGGCTGAAGGAATGAATCCGCTCTTTCTGCTTTACAGATAAAAGACAAACTAGAAAACATAGCACAAGCTTTCACATCTACAGTTGAGATCTAATATCTGCCTTTATTGATGCAATTTGGTCAACTTTTGCTTTAAATGCTGTTCAGATAATTATATCATATTCACTGAACATGATTTGTTTCTTGAGGGAATTCTTGGTTCCTTTCTAAAGGTCACTTTAATGTCAATCATTTACAGACAGTAGTATGACACAGCTCTTAAGAATGTACATAAAAACCAGGAAAAGAACTTCAAGCCACTCCCCCACCCTTTTTCAAATGCTAAGGAAAAAACCTATTAGATGAATGCTATAAATACCTATAAAAAGCTCTTTCAGGAGATTAACCCCTCCCCCCCATCAACAGTCATAAATAGCCCTTCTATAAAGCAACTCTTCAGCAACTGGCCGAACACTGTAAAATTTACATAGATAACAGACCAGCAGCAACTTGGCTCAGCAGTTAAGATCAAACCTTATATCACAAAGAAGATGCCTTATTTTCATGAGTGACTCCTTCAGAACATCTGTTATCTTGAACAGTTAATAGTTTGCACAATAAACTAAGAAATAAAAAGGCAGTGATATGAGAGTGACTGGTTGGGGCTAAAAAGCTCTACAAGGGTATCAATCATACACACTGTATCTAGAGAGGCATCACGGTTCTACAAGAATCCTTGGAGGTACCACTGCAGTTCATTCAAAACACTAAATACTTCGCAAGCAAAAAAGTTGTATTTAAATATCTGAATATACCACATTATTTTAAATAGGAAATTCCAGGAAAGCGGTTGCTGCATTTATTATTTTTGGTCTTACAGCTAGGGGAACAGCTTGGGGGATACTGGAATTTTATACTGAATAAGCCAGTTTGTTGGGGTTGCTGTGTTAGAAGCACATACACAGCAATATAGGTAAGTTATTCTATTCATATCATCCCATTCTTTCCTTTTCCTTCTTTTGTACCTTAGAAATTAGAGTCTCAGCCAGATCTTAGAATATAAAAGACTAAGTATCTGCCAGTTGAATGTTAACCGATGGTGAGAAATAGAGAGAGGACTCTCATGTTAATAATTTACTTCCTACTGAAGAAAAAAAAAATGAGGAAGGGACCTGATATTTTTAACAGGACTCACTAATGAGCAGGAATGTCAAAATTTGAAGTTTAAATGCATTTCTAGATGTTTGGATGCTCTTCCACACCTTCTTTTCCAAGTAAAGGTATTCTCAGAAGAACAGGGTCTGACAAGGTTTGTTGCTGCGCTTCCAGGTTAGAAAAAACAACAAAGATTTTCCTTGTGAATCCTGTGCTTGTAGACTCCACTGCATGCACACAAGGTATCAGGGACAAAAAACAGGGGTCTGCCTGATAAAACTTGTTACAAGACTGAGACTGAGTAGGGCCACAGATTGCTTCTCCTCTTTGGCATTCCAACTTTATGTGACCACAGGATTGTTTGATTTACATAGCACATTACTATTCCAAAATCCTGTGAACCTGGATCCAATACCACATCAGCTTTTAATAATTCTCTTTCTTTGGTGCTGCCAACTGTCTTGATTCTCTTGTAAGCTCTGTGACACTCAGTATCTTTCTAACATCCAATTCCCTTCAATCTAATCATCACACATGCATCTCAGCTTTCATTTTAAAAACACTTCTTTGTGCGTGGAGAAAAAAATGCCATCTTGACACATCCAAAAGACATAGATATATGAAAGAGAACAAGAAACATTTCTTTAAAAGCCTGTCCCTTTCAGAGCTGGGCTTATAGTTCTCTTCAGTTGTGCCTCATCTGTTTCAAAGACTGCCTAAAGGGGGATTTAGCGTAAAATGCTTTAGAAGTGTTACATACTTCCTTAATTTCAACCCTGTGCAGTGACAGACATGCACTGGAGTTACTGAATAAGCTCAGATATGGATAGGACTGTGATGTCTGTGACATCGATCAAGTACCTAGAAGGGAAAAGCCTCATCTGACTGGAAAGGTAAATATGCATACATAATACCTAAAATGAAAATAAACCCTCATGTAAGGTATAATACTAACATTGAAGGTTTTTTAAAAGACTGACCCCTTTTCACAAGTCACAAAAAGTAATCATGCAAAATTTTATTTAATTTTATTAAATGAACAAAATCTTTCATATATTCATGTTTTATCTGAAGTAAAAGGCAAACTCCATTTTCGGTGGTGGTATTCTCACAAACATATGCTACCTGTAAAGCTAATCCACCTAAAATGACCCTATGCCCTCCCCATTTGCAACTCCAGTGTGGCTGTTGGCCATGCAGCACATTGCTGTGCCTGCTGCGGACTGAGATTTCCGCAGGGAAAGGCCGTGCCATTTCCTCGGAGCACTTACAAGCAAAGAAGAAAGCCTCCCTGTGAGGTATCATAAACAAACTCTTGTGACATGCCTTTATGATGCTGCCCCAGGGGATACATTAAAAACACACAGCTAGACTAGCTCAGAATTGCTGGAACAGCTTGAGATAACCCTTGCCCTTGATGGTGCGGCTGCTCTTGCAGCTAAGCAGCCTCTGCCCGTTCCCTTACTGCTCTGCAGATCTGTGCTCACAGCCTTAAGGCTAGGAAAAGGGATTACCAGCACAGAGAAACTGCATTTCACCTTCGAAGCACAACTCTCTCAACACAGTACATGTCACCTGGCAAGAAAGAGGAGGGCTTCACAGTAGATACGCAAGATTATTTCAACACAATTGGGTGCAGGAACCTTCTGTGGCCAGTCCCTGCAGCAGTCAAAAATAGCTGGAAAGTGGAAGAGCCCAACAGAGCAGTAAATGTCATCACAGGGGTTTCTACAGGTGCTTCCCTGGAATAAGACTGGGACAGTGTTTTTGTGTTGGGGATTTGGGTGGCATAAAATACCAACATGCACCATACAACCCAATAAGTCAGTGAAACTGCTTTCCTTCCCAGTGCTTTCTCAAGCAAGCCAATTGAAACGAACCCTTGGTGTCTCAGCATTCAGCTGCTAAAGCTGAATCAGTTGCTGAAGCTTGAGGTACATACATTTGTTTAGAAAAGAGCAGCCCATGACCCACAGAACCACGGCCATGTTAGTTGAGTTTAGATTTTCAGTAAGAAAAAGATGACATGAGAAATGCAAGTTCTGTGACAGTGTCACTGTGCAGATCTCAACCTTTGAAAAAGCAGTATTTTAGGGTTTGTCTACTCTTTTAGAGCACCAGTTGCACGGCATGGCTGTTGGCTGCATAGAGAATCCTAGGAGTGACAGGATCCTCACACTTTAAACACTTCCTTGCCTTGGTTTTCTGGATGGGATGACAAAACATCATTTAAATGAATGGTGGGCAGTGACTCCTGTAGCTCTACTGCTTTGGCTGGAACTGATCCACTGTTGGAGTCACTCCTGCAAGTGAGGGCTGTGCGGCTGTCTCTGCTGGGTGGAAGGGAACAGACCATTTGGAATCCTTTCAGCAGGAGGCCTTCCCATCAGCAACTGAAGCACCCAGCGATACACTCTAGAGACAATCACAGAAACCTGCTACCTTGGTTTTGGAGAGCCCAAAGCCTCCCTTCCCAGCTTCCCAAGCCCTGTGGTCCCAGATGGCTCGCAGCTAGTGTGCCAGGGTCCCCAGACCCCCTCCTGCCAGGCTTCCCAACTAACTCTCACATCACCTTCCTCAAGGGCTAATTATCCAGCAAATTGAGATTATCACCGCATTCCTCTAATACAAAATGGAGAAACACCTTAAAATGCCAGAGTTTTTCACTGATCAGAAGATCTCCTCACTGGGCAAAGAACAGAGCAATAAGGGTGAGAGAGCTCATAAAGTACTTACGAGAAACAATGTTTTCTGGATACTACTCTTCATTGTCAAAAAAAAATCAAAGTGCCATGAGACTTAAATCGTCCCCCCAACGACAGCATAGCACCACTCCAGTGCATGAAACCAAACCAATTTCATTTTACCATATTGCAAGTCTAAACTAACAGTATATCTCAGATATTATTTCCCCTCAATTCACTCCACATTTACATTTCAGGGCAATATAAAATTCAAGGAAGTTTACACAATTTTTTATTTTTAACCATGGTATTAAAAGCATTTACAGTTAACTGAAAATACCTGGAAAAAGAGTAGCAGGCTAGACATTCAGTCAGTCAGACCACATGGAAACCCAGGGCAGGGATGAACACTTAGGATGGGGTCAAACTGCCCGCAAATACATGAAATTACAGAGGAGCTATCTATTGCATCTCCATTTGGAGACAATGCTCCTGCAAAAGGGTCAAATGCAGCCTGTGCCTTCTGAATAGTAATTTCAGCAGAGTCAAACAAGCTCTGCTGGCTTGCAGCAAGACACAGTTTGGCCCAATAACTCCAGTGGTAGGGGTGAATCTCATTGATAGGGAAGCCTACAAGGATGCCAGAGAAGGTCTTTAAACTGAACCAGGGGAAGTTCAGGTTAGATCTAAGGCAGAAGCTCTTCCCTGTGAGGGTGCTGAGGTGCTGGCACAGGGTGCCCAGAGAAGCTGTGGCTGCCCCATCCCTGGCAGTGTTCAAGGGCAGGTTGGACACAGGAGCTTGAAGCAACCTGCTCTAGTGTGAGGTGTCCCTGCCTGTGGCAGCAGTTGGAACTGAATGACTTTAAGGTCTTTTCCAACCCAACCATTCTGTGATTCTATGATACCACATACATTGTAAATTTTTTCTCAAGATCTTGTAATGAGCAACATTATTTTCTATTAAACTGGATTCTGAGATACTGACATAAGCTGCAGTTTCAGACTATTTTGTCTAGAAGAAGATTGAAAGTGATGCTGGAAAATCCCCCAAACTATACTGGAATGATTCTACACTCACCTGTTGAAGTAACAAGTAACCACTGCCCCAGCAATTGTCATTTGCTGACAGGCAAGAATGAATTCACTAGTCCAGATCAGGCCAACGAAAAGATACCATGCCATGTAGTAAATTCCAGACAGAGCTCTGTATTCCACTTGTCCTCCTGAAGTAGTCTGTGCAGTACCTGGAATTGGGATCACACCACTGTATTATTATAACACACCAGACAAGGAGGGAAAAAAAGAAGTGCATAGACTTGCCTCTACACCCTTTGTCTTAACTTTTCTTCAACAGAATTATAAAAACATAAATTCAGGTGCTATTTAATTCTATCCATTCTAAGAAAGTCAGAGAGGCAAAATGTTGTAATCCAAATAGAATCATGGCAACTAGTTTTCTGTTCTCTAGACTTTGTGATCTTTGTGCAAAATAGAGGCACAAAAAGGTGGGCTCTCACGTAAACCCCTCAAACCAAAAAAAGGTAGGATATGCTCCAGTGGCACTACTATATTGAGAAATATTGATAATTTTGTTTATTAAAGCTAAAAAATTGCCTCCACTTCTGTCCATAACAAAGAATTCATTGCATATCCAATAGACGGCTTTTCACCAAAGGTGAGGATAACTCAGATAACTTGGCAATCCGACCTCGCCCTATGCAATCCTATTTAAAACACTTGACCCTCAAGTCTAGCCAGGGACAGGGGCATTAGGACAGTCACTACTAGTGAAAGGTTTCTAGGTCCACAACCTGCTATTTTTTCTAGTTTACCAAGCTTTAAGTCTATCACCCTTAAAGATAAACTTGTTCACAGAATAAAACCATCTCTGGAAGAGAGTAGTTTCTTATTCTAACTCTATGAAGGAAAGAAAGAGAGACATCAAGTTGTCTATTACTGCTAGAACAGCATTATAGCTTCAGCTTTAATAATTCATGTGTTCATTTGGTGGCCTTAGCAGGGTTAGGTTCGTGGTTGGACTCGATGATCTTAAAGGTCTTTTCCAATGTAAATGATGAATCTATGATTCTATATGCTCCCACAGAACAGCATATCACTTTCAAGTTCAAAACTACCACAGATGTAATGCTATCTACGAAATGGTTCACTTATTTCTGTCCTTTATTTTTATAATACTCAATAATAATACTCAAGAAGAGCTAAAAGTGGAAACAATAAAGATTTGTTTTCAGCAATACCATTGGGCTTAGCTAAGCTTTATAAGTCTTCAGAACCAAGGTCTGTTTGTCTGTAAAGGATGAAAAATATTCATCTAGCTCATTGTACCACTGCAAAAATATTTGAAAGTGCTTTGAAAGGCTCAAAAAATGCTACACGGGTGCACAAACACTGACATCTGCTCTAGCTACTTTCTTTCCTGAAAGGTTACCAATTTTAGCTAAATTAGCAAGCTCTTTACAGTGCTGTACGGCTGGTCATTCACAGAAATACTGCTGCTTCCATTATATTCAAATGCATTTTAACCCTGTGAAATGCAAGATACATGATGGTGTGAAAAAGCCACTGGTCAGATTCATGTACTTTGTTACATTAAAATAAGATATGCACTATACCATTCTGAATTCAAGGGATTTTCCAGCTCCCTGACTTCTTCCTGAGGCTCTAGATAGCTGTTTGCCTGCAGCATGCATCAAATAGGCTCATTCACCACATACTATAGCCCTTAATGATGAAGGTTACGCAAATGATAGGCCAGAAGGTCTCCTACATCCTCATTTTTATGCAAAGTCATTATGCTATTTGGTAGCAAAATTAAACCTATTTTCTACCATACAATTCACCTGACAATTTCTTTTCCATAAAGGGCACATCTCAGGCTTTGCTTCTATAGTTTTGTCATGAAGACTGGCAGAATTCTGTTTGCTTTGTACCAGCTACTGAAATAACCACTTGCAGTGACAACTTTAGCTTTGCCTTTCCTGACCAGCTTTATACACGTGCATGTATGTGCTCTGCTGCACAGACATCAGGCATACCCTGCTGTGAGTTTACCATTGACCACTTTGCTGTCTAGGTATGCAAACTGGGTTTGGCACTTCACAGAAACCTGTTTACCAGTGTAAACATCTGTGTGACTGAATCCCTGTCTTCTGGACCTACCCTGCATGCATGACTGTGTCAACAGAGTTACATGCAATGGTACTTTTCATGTCAGTCTTAGTAGCACAGCTAAACTTTAAAGCTATCCTAGATACCCTGTTGCGAAAAGTATATGCCATTTTCCTCATCACTCCACTGTGGTCTATCTGTTCACACGAGCTATGTTTTCTCAACCAAGAGCTGAAATATGGTTTGTCAAGAGTCATGACTCTTTCTGATGTACTATACACTTTCAGTGATAACATTAAGAAGTCAGTAAAGAACTTTAGTCCCTACAGCTGAATCACCAAATCTGAAAACCTCTGATCAGTACAAGCACTGACCTGCTGCAAACGCTTCACAAGAAGCGTTGTTAACACTGCAAACAGGCACAAGTGTTTGCAGCAGGCTTCAAAAGAGTTTCTCCACCTGACTCTGCAGCCCAGTGCTGTGCCATGATGTTGGGCAGCATAGTAATGCAAAAGGCAGTGTGGACATGCAGTATCATTAGCTACATTTTGGTACTTTCACACTTATGCTCTCTCTCGGCAACTGCTGCTGCAAGGTTTTGCTGATGCCTGCAGTTATAAGGCTGTTATAAGAGACAAAAATTCCTAGGAAGTCTAGTCCAGCAATTTCCTTACCAGAAACAAAGAGCTACTGACCAGAAAATACTGAGAGCCTGTTTATCAGTTCCTGTTAACAAGAGAATATGGTGGGCCCTTCCCACTGCTAAGTGAGGAAAGGTTCTGGCATCACACACTGAATCTTCATGCTTCCTTCAACAGAACTGATTGTGTTATTTTATTTAGCCTTTTTCCATGTAGTGGTATTTACAGCTAAGCTAGCTGACTGTAGCTGGAACGTCAAGGACCCTGCAGGAAATACATTTTTATTCCTGGTTTTGCTACTGCACAGCGTTACAAGGCAGTTTTATTGCTCGCTTGCCTGTAGGATGCACCTTCACTACGTAAAAATCTCACACCGCCTTCTCATCCTACATTACATGCATAGTGTTTATGCCATTGAACTTCACAGCTCCTGCAGGCTGGGAAGTTGAAACACATTTGCTGTGCCACATGGCCACTTGTTCTGCAGTGAAATGCCACACAGATTAGCAAACAGAAAGACTCAGTAACCCCAA